TTGTCACATTATGTTACTAGTTTGGTAAAGTAACATTACTTATTCCTGTTAAAAGGCAAATTGATGAAAAGTGGATAATTTTTCAAATTTTGACTTTATATAATAAATAATTGTTCAAGTACAAATAAGTGGATTATTGCAGAACTTTTGAGTGGACCTCTGCGGGACGAGCGCAGCGAGTTCCGCAGCCATCTACTCACCAATATACTGTTAAACTGTTCAAGTAAGACCCTCACCTGAAACGTATAGTTTTTGAACTAATGAGAAAAACTTAAAAATTAAAACTATACCAGGAGACTAAAACATCTCATCACGGAGATACAGAAAATGTTTCATCTTTAAAGAAACGATATTATTGGCCTAATCTAGAAAAAGATGTACAAGCATATGTCAAAACATGCGAAATATGAAAGGCAACCTTACAAAATAATATTCAAACCAACTCCAATCGGTTCAAAACCCTTTGAACACCTTTATATTGATACATACGTTTCGAATCAAAAATTCCTAACAATTATTGACAGCTTTTCGAAGTTTGTACAAGCTACCCTAATTATTAGCAAAATTTCAGTTGAGATTGCATCACAATTAATAATAAGATATTTCAGTGACCATGGGATTCCATAAAGATTTACATCTGATAACGGAACTGAATTTAAAAATGCAATTTTAACAGATTTATCTACTTTACATAAAATCGAATTCCATTATACGACACCTCGAAACCCTAATTCGAATAGTCCTATTGAAAGATTACATTCTACCTTGAGAGAAAGTTTAACAAAGCCCTAATAAAAACATTAATGATTCATATTTTATATGTACCGGACGGTGCTAATAGATATAATATAAATCGCGACTAATCTGTTAAATTAAGGCCGATTTACACGTATCCAGTAGCTGACGCTAGTTTCACTAGCGTTCCACTGGCATATTAGTGGCATCGTGTGAATATTTGCTCGTGCCAGTTCAGAAACGAATAGAGAATGTGTCCATTTTTCTTGTAGGCATTAGCTGACGTCACCTACATAACCTCACTTATGATGGAGGAACACATAATAAAATCATAATGATAATAAAAAACGTCACTGCGCTGGACTTGTCTGAACAGATAACAAATTTATTTGAGAAATTGTTTGTTTATGTGATTCGTGTCGTCATAGCCAACGTTTGTATGTATAAACAATCCTTGAACGTTTTGTTTTGTCCCCTATCGAAAGTGAGGTTATGTGTATGACGTCAGCTGATGCCGAGGGGTAAACCGCTGAGCAAAACCTGTATACCAGATACAAGTAACATAAACAGGCTATATACAAATTTTGACTTTATATAATAAGTTATAGTTCAAGTACAAATGAGTGGACTGTTGCGGAACTCATAGGGTCATTCCGCAGCTATCTATTCACCAATATACCGTTGAACTGTTCAAGTAACACACTCACCTGAAAGGTGTAGTTTTTGAACTAATGAGAAAAATTGACAACTGAGTGAATCATCTGAGTATTGTATTTGAACAATATAGGTATTGGTGAATAGATGGCTGCGGAACTCGCTGCGCTCGTCCCGCAGAGGCCCGCCCATAAATTCCGCAAAAATCCACTCGTTTGTATTTGAATAACTTGTCACATGATGTTAATAGTTTGGTAAAGTAACATTACTTATTCCTGTTAAAAGGCAAATTGATAAAAAGTGGATAATTTTACAAATTTTGATTTTATATAATAAATTATTGTTCAAGTACAAATAAGTGGATTATTGCTGAGCTTATAGGTGGACCTCTGCGGGACGAGCGCAGCGAGTTCCGCAGCCATCTACTCACCAACTATTCAAGTAAGACACTCACCTGAAACGTGTAGTTTTTGAACTAATGAGAAAAACTTAAAAATTAAAACTAGACCATGAAACTAAAACATCTCATCGCGGAGATACAGAAAATGTTTCATCTTTAAAAAAACGATATTATTGGTCTAATCTAGAGAAAGACGTACAAGCATAATATGTCAAAACATGCGAAATATGTAATAAGACAAAATATGAAAGGCAACCTTACAAAAGAATATTCAAACCAACTCCAATCGGTTCAAAACCCTTTGAACACATTTATACTGATACATTTGTAGTTTCGAATCAAAAAATCCCAACAATTATTGACAGCTTGCACAAGCTATACCAATTATTAGCAAAACTTCAGTTGAGATTGCATGACAAATAATAGGTAAGATATTTCAGTGACCATGGGATTCCATAAAGAATTACTTCCGATAACGGAACTGAATTTAAAAATGCAATTTTAACAGATTTATATACTTTACATAAAATCGAATTCCATTATACGACACCTCGAAACCATAATTCGAATAGTCCTATTGAGAGATTACATTCTACCTTGAGAGAAAGTTTAACAAAGCCCTAATAAAAACATTAATAATTCATATTTTATACGTACCAGACAATGCTAATAAATATAATATGAATCGCGCCTAATCTGCTACATTAAGGCCGATTTACACGTATCCAGTAGCGCTAGTCTCACTGGTGCTCCACTGGCATATCAGTGACAACATGTGAATATTTGCTCGTGCAAGTTCAGAAACGAATAGAGAATGTGTCTATTTTTCTTGTAGGCATTAGCTGACGTCACCTACATAACCTCGCTTTTGATGGAAGGACACTATTAATGATAATAAAAAATGTCACTGCGCCGGACTTGTTTGAACAGGTAACAAAAATATTTGAAAAATTGTTTGTTTATGTGATTTGTGTCGTCAACGTTTGTGTATGTATAAACAGTCCTTAAACGTTTTGTTTTGTCCCCTATCGAAAGTGAGGTTATGTGTGTGATGCGAGTTCTGCAGCCATCTTTTCACCAATATACTGTTGAACTGTTCAAGTAACACACTCACCTGAAAAGTGTAGTTTTTGAACTAATGAGAAAAATTCACAACTGAGTGAATCAGGTGAGTATTATATTTGAACAGCATATTGGTAAATAGATGGCTGCGGAACTCGCTGCGCTCGTCCCGCAGAGGTCCACCCGTAAGTTCCGCAACAATCCACTCGTTTGTATTTGAATAACTTGTCACATGATGTTAATAGTTTGGTAAAGTAACATCACTTATTCCTGTTAAAAGGCAAATTGATAAAAGTGGATAATTTTACAAATTTTGACTTCATATAATAAATAATTTTTCAAGTACAAATAAGTGGATTATTGCAGAGCTTATGGGTAGACCTATGCGGGACGAGCACAGCGAGTTCCGCAGCCATATATTCACCATAACATTGAACTATTCAAGTAACACACTCACCTGAAAGGTGTAGTTTTTGAATTAATGAGAAAAATTCATAACTGAGTGAATCAGGTGAGTATTGTATTTGAACAACATAGGTATTGGTGAATAGATGGATGCGGAACTCGCTGCGCTCGTCCCGCAGAGGTCCGCCTATAAGTTCCGCAACAATCCACTCGTTTGTATTTGAATAACTTGTCACATTAAAGACCGCAGAGAACCTGCTCTGCGAATGTCCAGCCCAATTCTGCAAGAGGCTCAAATTCCTCGAGGGGGCAACACTGTCACCAGAAGAAATGGGCCAACTAACACCCAGGAAAATAGCTTCCTTCGGTAGAAGTCTACGCTTCCTGGAGACAATTGTAGTCATGTACAAAATATCTGCAAAGGTAGCAGTGCTGAGCGGCTGAAAAGCCGAAACGACTCCCCCGCGATCTACAATACAATCTACTTGTCACATTATGTTACTAGTTTGGTAAAGTAACATTACTTATTCCTGTTAAAAAATTGATAAAAAGTAGATAATTTTACAAATTTTGACTTCATATAATAAATTATTGTTCAAGTACAAATAAATGAATTATTGGGGAACTTATGGGTGGACCTCTGCGGGACGAGCGCAGCGAGTTCCGCAGCCATCTAATCACCAATATACTGTTGAACTGTTCAAGTAAGACATTCACCTGAAATGTATAATTTTTAAACTAATGAGAATAACGCACATTTGAGTGAGTTAGTATCGTAATTAAACAACATATTGATGAATAGATGGCTGCGGAACTCGCTGTGCTCGTCCCGGAGAGGTCCTCCCATAAGTTCTGCAACAATTCACGCGTTTGTACTTGAATATGCGGAACTTATGGGATGACCTCTACGGGACGAACGCAGCGAGTTCCGCAGTGATCTACTCACCAATATACTGTTAAACTGTTCAAGTAAGACAGTCACCTGAAACGTGTAGTTTTTGAACTAATGAGAGTTAAAACTATACCATGAGACTTAAACATCTCATCGCGGAGTTACAGAAAATGTTTCATATTCAAAGAAACGATATTATTGGCCTAATCTAGAAAAAGACGTACAAGCATAATGTCAAAATATGTAATAAGACAAAATATGAAAGGCAATATTACAAAATAATATTCACACCAACTTCAATCGGTTCCAAGCCCTTCGAACACCTTTATATTGATACATACGTTATTTCGAATCAAAAATTCCTAACTATTGAGAGTTTTCACAAGCTATCCCAATTATTAGCAAAACTTCAGTTGAGATTGCATCACAATTATTAAGATATTTCAGTGACCATGGAATTCCACAGAGAATTACTTCCGATAGGTAACAGAACTGAATTTAAAAATGCAATTATAATAGATTTATGTACTTTACATAAAATCGAATCCATTATACACCTCGAACCCCTAATTCGAATAGTCCTATTGAGAGATCACATTCTACCTTAAGAGAAAGCTTAGCAAGCTTGAAATAACAAAAGCTCTGATAAACACATTAATACCATCCTTATTGAAAAAAGGAAAACTCTCTCATTGCATTCTGGCTCGTTACACTTCGTCATTACCAACACTAATCTTTGCTTAATTTCCAGATTACTCTAGTATTCGCTTCCCTGGTAATAGCAGTCAGAATGGACGCAATCGCAATCGCTATATCACTTTGGCTGCTCGTTTTGTCTACGCTAAACAGAAAATGCATGAAAGCGGTCTGGTTGGTATTCGAAATTTTCCTAGCGCTTCTAGTTCTGCTCGAGTACGTCAACACTTTAGGATGGTGGCCGACATTTTTCAATCGTAATAAACCAATAATTGCCACAATAATTTTATATAATTAACAATTTTGTAGAATCTTTGACTGAGTTTTGGAATTCAAAAGACTTACGTGTGAGATTGCAACAGTTTTGCCAAATATCCAATCTTGTTTATCCTCCGTTAAAAGGCAAGATTAATCTTGATTTCTGGTTGCTGTTGCTCGCTTGCAGGCAATGGTTTGTGTTCAGGAAAAAAGCGGTAGACTCATTGGCAGGAAGCAACCAAAACGTTTGTCATTTGATTGAAGATCCTCTGGTGGAAAATCCTGTGCCAGATTTCATGACATACACTGAAACAGTGGTAGATAGTTATAAACAAATAGTTTTCACTTCGGGATTTTACATTGCATTGATCGCAGTGTTTTTGGCTGGTACCCTTAGACCAACACTTTTTTCCTTTGGGAACATTATTGCCTCTTTTACTTTCCTATGGGAAGGATCCGATATGTTTTTGAGGCCCGCCAATATTATTTTACGCAGGTAATCTACATATAAGTACTATACTAATGTTAATGATTATCTACAAAAATATTTTCAAGATGGAATTACTTAATTGCCTACAACGTAATAGTATTGGTTGTTAGAAGCGCTAGCCAGATTTTTGAATGTATTTTAATATACGAAGCCAATGTCGAGATTAATTGCAAAATATCTCGATTATTTACAATCGGCTGTGTAGATAGTTACGGTATGATGGAAGATATACCGGGAATTTCCACAGAATCCTCATGCACAGTGCTCAAAACAGCTCTAGGCTTAGGCTGGGATTGTTTTTCGTTTTTCTGCTTGATTTGCCAACAACGCATATTCAAATCCTACCACTTTATTCACATTGTCAACAACGCGAAAGCAAAAACTATCTTGGCGGATTGCGGTGCTATTTTGATCGAGGAACAACGTCGAGAGAAGAAAACCGCAATCGACGTGGAACGTTCAGCTTTAGAGGCGAATATCAAATTGAAAATGCAACGACTTCGAGAAATTGAGGAGATTAGTAAAGATGGGTATTATCATTTTGATCGAGTTGATATACCGCTGATGCCTGATAAAGTGGAAGAGGAAAGTGATTATGAGTCGTTTGATCCAATGCCTTTACCAGAAGTAGGTATAGTTCATTTGGTAATATGTAATTAATCAACGTTTTTTTTTTTTTAGTATTTTGGGCTTTTCTATAGTTCAGGCATGGAAACTGTATTGGAAATAACGGCTTTGAGAAAAGAGCGGAAGAGAAATTTGAGGCAAAAGGTATACGAAATATAATTAGTCACAACAAATAAGAAGTAGTTAATGGATTTTGGTTTGCTCTAACTGAAACTAAGTCGAAGACATTTGAGATCGATGCTCGACACGCAACTGTCAACTGAAAATATTTTTTCCTACGAGCGTGCGCAAAGTAGTACTTTTCCGCACGCATTACCGTTCTCAAAGTTATACTTTTCCGCACTGAGTGCGGATACGGGCCTTATCCGCACTGAGTGCCGAAAAGTAAAAATAATTGTCAAGCAACAATAAGTGCACCTGTCGACTTTGACACATGATGACAAATTTCTCCTATGTTTCTATATCAGCCAACATCTATACAAACACTGAATATAATTATCTTTAACATCAGATTTGTGTTCTCCACTTACATGCAAGAATCTACAAACTTCTTTCGCATCAAATTTAAACGCCTTAAGATGAACAGCTCTGACGAGAATTTCAATTTTTTGTTTTTTTTGTTATATAATTTTTTGATGAATGAATAGGTTCGCTTTAAGTTAATTGAAAATAATTGAACAAATTATCGTTTTTTTTTTTTTAAATTTTTGTTGTTACCTACCTGATATGAAGCTCGTTGGAAAAATGTTGTTCCTAACACGTGCGCAAAGTGTATTTTCCGCACGCAAACACAGTTATATGAACGACGCGAAGCGGAGTAACACTTTGCGCACTTGTTAGGAAAATAACTATTCTCGCTTTCTTTACTTCACAGCATTTTAGGATATCTAACGGTTCCACGGCTGGAATGTCTTCCATCTGTATAAGGGCACTTCCCAGGTTCTTCGTTCTTCATCATTGAATGACTAACGGCATAGCAGTTCAGTAAAAGATGGTGAGGTGAGGTATCAAAGGGCGTCCATAGAACATTTTTCAGGGGGGGGGGGGCAAAAACCTGACTTATTTTTATTTTTAAATAAGACCATTTATGTAGGTAACCATACGTATATTACTGAATCAACTATACTCATTTGTAATGACGTCATTTAAAAAAAAAAAACACACATTGCACAGACAGAATGTCAATTTGAAAAATAAGATTTTTCTTGAAACGTCAGAAAACCTGAGTTCTAATGGCGATTTATCTCTGGGCGATTTCTATTTGTCAATCAGTGCGCACTGAGTGTATCCTCATCTTTTTCTATAAGCTTGTAACATGTAAGGATAAGGATAAAAATTTTTTGCACTGGTTCGGCAAATGGAAACCGCTATATTGCTGTGATTGATTTTTTGTCAGTCGATGGTCACTATGGCAACGGGAACAGGAGAAGAACTTTTCAAGTCCACTTTGTGACTCGTTATCGTACGTTTGTCAAATTGCCATAGCAACCATATACATATATACTAACGTATACCACTCATAGACGACTGCGCATCTTTCTGCGCATCGGAATAAAAGAAGATAGAAGAATCGACCATTTTAACGTATGCTTTGACATTAATAAAATAATATACCAAATTCCATTGGTAGAATTTATAATTATAAGTATTTTTATCTCTTTCTTATACAAGTTGGTAGAAAAAGACACGAATACACTTACAATACACTCAGTGCGCACAAGCCTTCCAATGGAATTCGCATTAAAAGTTACAGATTACTGTAATAATGTCCTGCGTTATTGACATTTGACAATGTGATTTGACATTATATTTAAATATTGTTTATTGTTTTGTTTGTTGGTTTTTAATTGGTTTTGTGTATTTTAACGTATTTTTTCGAAATTGGATTATAAAGTATGTGTATATTATTTTGATTATACAACTCACTGTACATTATTCCCATATGACACGAGAGGCCTAATAAGTGATAACCCTTTTGGGATTATCACGCTTGGTGGCACTATTGTTCATTTGCTATTAATAATAATAAAAATCAATAAAGTATTAAGTTTAGTTCGTTGTATAACCTTTTGAATACCACTCGATATTTCAAGATAACCTAATACTTTTACCTGACACTCGACGCGTTACCAGCAACATCACTCCTCCTTCGGAGTCGTGGTGTTTCTGCGTAACACGTTTCGTGACAGGTAAAAGTATTATCCGGTAATCCTGGAACCTCTTGTGGTATTACATTCGATTATACAACTCACTGTACATTATTCCCATGTGACACGAGAGGCCTAATAAGTGATAAGTCTTTTGGGATTATCGCGCTTGGTGACAATATTGTTAATTTGTTATTGATAATAATAAAAAATAATAAAGTATTGAAGTTTAGTTCGTTGTATAACCTTTTGAATACCACCCGATGTTTCAGGATTCCCTATTACTTTTACCTGACACTTGTAATAATCCGGGAAAAATAGTCCCGATAATTACAATGACTTTACTGTAAAAATAAAAATTAAATTTAATCAAACAATCAAAAACTGAATTTCCGATATCTAAATCAGTATCGATAAATTAAAATGAAACAAATTAACGCTAACGTATTTCAACACCCAGCGTGATGTCATCCAACATCCGATCAATGAACTTTTTTTAGCGAGGTCATCGGGTACCTAACTAAATCAAATGATTTATGGCATTCTTGAACCAATAATGTTTTGACCTCGATAAATCAGGATATTGCGACATAATAGGGAACTTGCAAGGGAAATAAAATTTTCCAAATTTGATTTAAATCGATAGTTTATACTGTACAATATCCATATGACCAGTTTCCATTTAACTAATACCGCCCTTGTTACACAAAAATAGCACTGCGTCAGCAGGAGTTCGTTTGCTGCGTTTGTTGTTTACGAAATATTGATGTCACAACTGCTGTCATATTGAAACCTCGCGTTTTCGCGCCAAAGTTTTTGATTTGAATTTCAATAATTTTTTTTTCGTACAACGTATAAATTAAAATGGAAAAAAATTGAACCATGTAATATCTGATTGCTAGAAGTATCTAAAAAAAAATAAATTGAGAAATATGAAAATTCCCTATTATTCGATTTTTAGACTAAAAATGATAAAAATCTCAAGGAAATTGCATCATCTTAATTGTCATGGACAGAGAAAATTGGGGGAATCGATTTTATATAAATACCGCGGTTTTAGGAGAGGAAGGCAGTTGCTAGTTAAGTTGTCAGTTGAGAGATGAGTTCGCAGTCCTGTCCAGTTTGAGTTAAAATCTACAGTAGGTACCTAAAGTTTCAGTCCGGAAAGTTTCTTGTATTGCCTCGGTAACAGTCTTTGAAAAAGTAGCGGAAAAATTTTGAAACAAAGAACAATTAAATTCGTCAACATTTATGTGCGTGCTAGCTAAAAAAAAATTGAGTAATTAATTAAGTAATTTTACGTGTGCAAAGTAAAATGTAAGTACTTTAGTGTTTAATAATTTTCTGACTTTTATCAATGATAAGAAGTGAATTAACAATGACTTTTAATGCCTAAAAACTTGTGATTTTTACTAGAAAAACTTTTGACTTTATAATTAACTGTGGAACTTTATTGCATAAATATCAATAACTCGAGTGTTTTGAAAATGGAACATTATTGCATAACTTTAATTTCCTTCAGATATAATGACATTCTAATTTAATTTTGCAAAAGAAAATATGAAGGGAATTTATAATGCACCTAACATAACATAATGAGTATCGATTTGAGTAGGAATTATGAATTCAACAGTTGGGTTTATTAGCTAGGCATAGGAATCCGAGAATAGAATTATTCTGATTAAATAACCTATTAAATGGAATAGAAAATTTTGAAAAGAAACTGTCCATAAAATAGAATTGTCTTAAAATATTGGAAAGTTGTTAAAGGAAACTTATAATAGAATTTGTTCTGATTAAATAATAGTTATTAATCACTTGTGTAACTAAACCACTCGGCTAACGCCTCGTGGTTTAACGTTACACGCGTTTCATTATGGCGTTGATATCGAACGTGTATCATTCAAAATTTAATCTACAATGGTCCAAATAGATTTGATTTGCCTTGAAATAGCAAAAACTTTTCAAATTAAAATTTGAAATTTAGCAGGTGCCCGTACTAGTCGAGAACCTGCTTGTTGGTTTTTAGAATTTTGACTTTGGCAGCTTCAATATTGGAGTCCATTTTTGTGCCATAAATTCAATTTTATAGTGGAAAATAATATTATTATTGGTGATTCTGAGTTCGAAAGTGTCTCTTCGAATATAGAGACAGCATTATTGAAAAGGTTCTTCTGGCAACTAACTTTCTTTTTGTATATTTTTCATTTCAAAATTTGGGTGTTATTATGAATTCTTAAACGCACTAGTGCTATTATGAAGGACCTAATGACATTCAAATGACAATGCTAAATGTGTCATAATGACACCGACGTAGATTAACTAATAAATAGAATAGGAAGAAATGAATTTTGAATTAGGGTTTTATTTTTCAAGTAGAAATTATTGTATGGTTTTATAAAAATACGTTAGTAATACATATATTAATAGACAAATAGGTAATTATTTTGAGGTTTTTCATAAGCAGGTCCAGTAAAGGACTTAAAAATTTTAAAGAATTTATATAAATAGGAGAAGGGTAGTTAATAGGAATGAATCGGTGTTGAAATGAGTTGACTATAAGTTATTAGGAATAGTAGGAATAGGGCGTTTCTTATTTAGTAGGGATATTTCAGTGGTCCGTAATAATAACAATTTTAGAACGGATGTGAAGTAATTGAATTTATAGAAATAGATGAGGCTGTCAGAATTGGAAGATATTTTGCTGATTTAAATTTTTGGGTTTTATGTATTATAAAATATAATTTTAATAAGTGCCCCATTTGCCTCCCCCTATGGACGCCCCTGGAGGTATCTCTTCTCCGTCTTCACAGAATCTGCAGGTGCCACCTTCTTCTAACTCCAATTTCTGTAGGTGTATCTTAAATCTACAATGTCCCGAGAAAAACCCGAGTTAGAGTCTTTAGACTTTTTTTGCTAAGGTTGACCAGCGATTTTGATCTTTTTTGGTTAAAGTTGCCCAGTAGATCTTTGGCCTGTCGTAGTCCTGGATTTGTTCCTTAGCCGGTTGTTTTGCTTTTTGAGGATTTCTTGGAGGTACGCATTTTCGACACCGCAAAATGGTTCTGTCCCAGTGAAGGGAGTAGACCCTCCCGTTTTTGTGAGTCTGTCTGCGCATTCGTTGCCCTCGACTCCTAGGTGTTTAGACACCCAGAGCAGGGTAACTTTGTTTTCATTTCCCAGGTTAATGAGTTTTTGTAGACAGTCCATTATT